GGGCGCGACGGCCTCGGCGGGCGCGGCGGCGGGGGAGGAGACGGAGGGGCCGGCGGCGGCGGCGGCGGAGCGTCCGCGAGCGCTTCGTCGACGGCGACGCACTCGCCTTCATCGTCACTCGCGTACGTCACGAACCCGCACGTCTCTCTCGTGCTTCGGAATATCGTCCGAAGTCCCGCGAACTCGAGCTGCTCCGTCAACGACGCCAACGACGCGGCGCAGAAGCACAGCCCCGCGTTTAAGAGCCCGACGCGTTCGCAGCACGCCGCGGCGTCTCTCGGGGACAGTCGCGGAAGATCGCCGCATCCGTCCTCCACGAGCGCCTGCACCGCCGTGGCCTCGCAAACGAACGGCACGTCCACGTACGCGTATTCGGCGTCGTCTTCGGCGGCGGCGAACGCGGGCGGCGGCGGCGGAGGAGGAGGAGGGGGGAGCGTCGGTCGCGGCGGAAACGGAGGGTACAGGACCGGTCCCCGCGGCGGCGGCGGCGGCGGCGGCGGCGGCGGCGAAAGCGGCGGCGGCGGAAGCGGCGGCGGCCCTGCGAGGGCGAGACGAAACGGAAACGCGTCGGTCAGTCGGTCGTTCGAAAGTCCTTAAGGATCGGCGTTCACCACGCCGACGCGGTCGTATGGGGACCAGTGTGACATAGAACGCGGTCGTACGGCGAGGGACGCGCCCGGCGTCGCCGCGGGAAACGGCGCGCACTGCCACCCTCCCACGACGGTCGCGCCGCACGCGCTCGGCGCCGCGGCGAACATCGCCGCGAAGTTCGCCGGGAACGTCCGCGCCAAGTTGAGCGCGTTGCTCTTACAGAAGCACTCGTCGTCGTTCAGCGCGCGTAACCTCTCGCAACACGACGACGCCAGCTGCGCGCTCGTCTCTCCGCCGCGCGCCGCAAACGCCGNGTAGGAAGCAGCAACGACCACCATCACACCAACGCGACGTCTCCTATGANTAAACCGCGCGCGCGCGCCGCCGCGTCATACGGCGCCGTCCTCCCCCCCCCGCGCCCCACGTCGTCTTCCTCCTCCTCCTCCTCCTCCTCCTCCTCTTCGTTCTCTTCCTCGGGCACGAGCAGCGCTTCGCACCGCGCGCCGACGCGCGCGTTCACGCCGCACCGCGACGGCGCGCTCGCGAGCGCGGGCACCAGCGCGCTCTGCTCCTCCGCGGACGCGCTCAGGAACGGCTCCGCGCAGAAGCACCCGGCGGCGTTCAGCGCGAAGAGCTCGTCGCAGCACGCCTCCGGGGGCGTCGCGGCCGAGGCGGTGTCGCGAGGCGCGCAGAGGTTTGGCAGCGCGCGAAGCCGCGCGAGCGCGCACGCGTCGTTCCCCTGCGCGGCGGCGACGTCGACGCGGAGGAGGAGGAGGAGGAGGAGGAAGAAGACGTCGCGCGCGGGCGCGGGAGGACGGCGGCGCATCACGACGCCGCGCGCGCGCGCGGTTCACTCCTCCGAGACGACGCGTTCGCGTTCAGTTCGTCCTCCTCCGATGAAACGGGAACGGTGAACGGTCGCGACGCGGGATGAGTCGGCGAAAGTGAACCCTCGATTCTCGAGTCGAGCGACCGCGCGCGAATCCAGCGGGAATCCGGCCACCTCGGAAAAGCGTCGCCGGCGAGCGGATAAAGCGAGGGCAATCCGACGCAGGGTTTCGCGGCCGCATTCGACGACCGCGCGCGCCCCCCCCGGTCGCGTCTGCTCTTCGAGAGAACGAGAGTTTTCGCGCTCGCGCGTCGACCCGCGCGCACGTTCGCGTCATGCACGCGATGCTTCGCCCGCTCGCGTCCGCGCGCGCCGTCCGCGGCGGCGCGCCGTGCAATTCTCGCGCGTCATCGTCAGCTCGCGCGAGAGTCGTCGTTCCCGCGCCGCGCCGACGCCTCGCGCCGCCCGCGCGCGCGACCGGCCCGTGCGGCGACGCGATCGACCTCTCCGACCTCTCCAAGCTCCCGGGCGACCCGTCGCTCGTGCTCCACACGAACGTAAACATGGGCGACCGGAAGACGGAGTTCATGAAGGCGGCGTCGAGAGCCATCGCGGAGTCGCTCTCCAAGCCGGAGTCCTTCGTCGCGGTGTGCGTGCTCGATAACCAGTCCCTCATCTGGGGCGGGGAAGAGACCAACTGCGCGCTCGCGAACGTCGCGAGCCTCGGGAGCATCAACAAGGCGAACAACACCGCGCTGAGCGGCGCGCTCGCGGCGCTGTTGAGCGACTTCGACGTCCCATCCGACAGGGTGTACGTAAACTTTTGGGACATCGGCGCGAGAGAAAATTGCGGGTACAACGGCGTGACGTTCGCGGAGGGGCCGGCGAAGCCGAAGCCGCCGCCGCCGCCGGAGGTGCCGGAGCCGCCGACGCCGCCGCCGCCGCCGGAGGCGGTGAAGGAGGAAGAAGCGGAAGACGTCGACGAGGAAGAGGACGCCGAGGACGCCGAGGACGCCGAGGACGACGAGGAAGAGGAGGAGGAGGAAGAAGAGGAGGAGGAGGAAGAGGAGGAGGAGGAAGAAGAAGAGGAAGAAGAAGAAGAGGAGGAGGAGGAGGAGGAAGAAGAAGAAGAGGAAGTAGAAGAGGAGGAGGAGGAGGAGGAGGAGGAAGTGAAGCCGAAGAAGGGCAAGAAGGGCAAGAAGGACAAAGAGAAGCCCGTCGTCGTCGCGAAGCTCAAGAAGCTCTCCGACGAGAAAGTTTTGAAACTGTGGCGCAAGAAGTGCCCCGAGCTCGAAGACCTCTGGGACCTGGACGACGACCCGACGAGCTGGGACGGCCTCACGTGGGACGAAGACGGCGCGAAAGGCAACGTCACGGACATCGACCTCGACGACTGCGGCCTCAGCGGCGTCTTACCCGTCGAGATCGGCGGCCTGAGCGAACTTCGAAGCCTCGCGCTCGACGGCAACGAGCTCACCGGCGTCCCGTCCTCCATCGGCAATCTCACGAAGCTCGAGGAGTTGTACCTGTCCAACAACAACCTGCGGTCGGTCCCGCCCGAGATCGGTAACTGCGTGAACCTCGTCACGCTGTGGCTGAACAACAACGAGCTCACGTCCGTGCCCGCGGAGCTCGGGAACTTGCTCGCGTTGGAGATGCTCGACGTCAGCGAGAACGACCTCACGACGCTGCCCGCGGAGATTGGCGACCTGGAGCTTCTCGAACAGCTGGACATCTACGGCAACTCGGAGAAGATGCGGCTGCCCGCGTCGCTGCAGGAGGATGAGAAGCTCGAGGAGTCGGGGTGTAACATCGTGCGCGAGGACCCGGAGGAGTGATGACGACGAGCGAGGGAGGCGAGAGAGAGAGAGAGAGAGAGAGAGAGAGAGAGAGAGAGAGAGAGAGAGAGAGAGAAGAGAGAGGAGGATTATTTGGACGCGGCTTCAGATATCAGACGCCGCGCCGCGGTCGGTGTAAATTTTTCAGAATCTACTTCACATTTTCATCCCGTTCTACGGCCTACGGCTGCTACGTCTGTCTACGCGTCGTTCTGTCCTCCTCGCGCTTCTCCACGGGCTTCTCGTACTCCGGGAAGACCTCGCCGCTGAGCTTGCTCGCGCGCGCTTTCGCTCTCGCGAGCCGTCGTTCGATCTCGCGCATCCCCGCCGCCGCGTCGACGGCTTTTTTTCTATACCTCGGAATCAGCGTGAGCTGAGGGTCGAGGGTCCATACGAAGCGACGTCGGGGTGGAGTTCAAAGGCGTCAGAAGCGGAGTTGAAAGGCGTCGAGGTGTGTCGGGATTGAACGCGAGGGACCCTGGGCGGAGAGACACTCCGGGAAAAGTCCTCAAGGATCGGCGTTCACCGCGCGAACGCGGTCGTGTGGGGACCAGTGTAAGGAAATCGCGCCTGAAGCTCGAGCCACTCCAGCTTCTGCAGCCACAACACCGCGTCTTCGGTGTCCAAGAGCGACTTCGCGACCGCGTCTTGCGTCGCCCTGAGTTCCGCGAGCGTGCGCGCGACGTCCTCGGGGGCGGCCCCGCGCGCGTCCGCGAGCGCGTTCGCCGCGCGCGGCGCCCACGCGGGATCGTGCTTAGCGTTCCTCGGCGGAACCGTCGACGCGCGCGGGGCGCCGCGTTCGGGCACGCCGACGGGGAGGAGCTCGGGGTAGGAGGAAGACGAGGAGGGAGCGAACGCCGCGCTGGCGGGCGGCGGCGGCGGCGGCGGAGACGGCATCGCCGACGCGGCGGGGCGCGACGCGATGTCGTCAGCGCGAGACGACCGGGGCGTTCGTCGCGGAGTTTCGAGTACAGCTGTACTCGGAGAAAACTACTCGTACTCGTACGCGTTACTAAAAGCGCATACCACAAACTCTCGGCGATCGTGGGACGCTTGTTTATTCCAACCGCGATCGACGCGCCGATCGCCGGCGCCGGCGCCGTCCGCGCCGCGTCTGTAACGCCCGCGATCCGCGCGTTCGCGACGTCGCGCTCGAAGAGTAACGATCAATAGCATATGCAAATTACAACCACGGGTCAACTAGTCGGAAAATCGAACGATCGGTTGACCGCGAAGCCGCGTCCCGTCGTCGCGGCGTCCGCTCTGAGAGAAATCAAATCGTCCACAGTGCAGGAAAGGTGCACCTAAAACGAGTACCGAGACGCGCGATCGCGCGTCCGTCCTCCTCGCTCCGCGCAGCGCTCGCCGGCGCTCCAAAAGCGCGCTTCTCTAACAAATCACCGTCATCTTGTTCGGAATCCACGTCCTCCTCGTGTCGACCGGGCAGCAGCAGATGCACGGGAAGATGAAGAACCCGATGCACAGCGAGATGGGACCGCAGTACTTCTGCTCGTCGTAGTACCCCGCGGGCGACGCGATCATGGGAGACATCACCGCGGGGCGCGCCGCCTGCATGACCATCGGCTGCTGCATCACCGGCTGCTGCATCATCTGCGGCGAATAGGGAAGAGACGACGGGGGATGGGAGGGGAGGCGGTTGAGAGCTCGATCGGCGGAGTGGCGCGGAGAGGAGGGACCCAGATCGCGAAGCTTGGGCGCGAAGCGCGTCGTCCGAACGCGATTCGGTGAAGAAAGAAAGGTCGAGAACGCGGCGCGGAGATCGGAGCGCGATCGCACCGTCGGCTGCGCCATCACAGGCTGCGGCACCGCGTAGACGGCCGCCGGCGGCGCTTGCACGGGGGGAGGGGGGTAGTAGGCCATTCTTGCTGAGCGACGCGCGAGAGTGACGAGGAGGCTCGGCGCCGTCGAGAGCTTGAAGCTGCTTGAAACGGGCCGCGGCGCGGCGCGGCCTCGGCCGCGTTGCTGTAACAGAAGAATCTCGCGTCGCGCGATAGTGTCAACCCCTTTCAATCGGTCGTTTTTCACCGCGGCGCGATCGCGTCGAAAGGCGCTCGCGATCGCGAGCATCGGTCAACAACATAAATATCCTACTATCGCCTCCCACCCCCCCACCCTCCTCACACACGCTCGCTACTGCACGACGAACCGCGCGAAGTGCTCGTACGCCTCGTCCCCCCCGCGCTCGACCTCCCCTTCCCGCACCACGTCGTACTCCACCGTTATCTCCACCGTGCGCTGAGGGTCGACGGGCGACGCGAGCCGACGTCGGGGCGGGCGCGTTGAAAGGAAGCGTCAGAAGCGAAGCGGAGTCGAAAGGCGGGCGGAGAGAGACGCGCGTCGGGATCGAAAGCGAGGGGTAGCGGGCGGAGAGAGGGGTAGCGCGCGGCGGGAGAGAGAGCCCTCGAGGAACGGCGCGCGCCGCCGCGCGGACGCGGTCGCGCGGGGACCAGTCGGCGCGAGGAAGGAAGGAGGACGCGCCTTCGTCCCCGGTTTCGCGCCGGGCGCGGTGGACAGCGCGCCGACTATTCGATCGCCGCGCGTCAACGCGTGCGGCCGCTCGAACATCAAGATCGTCTGGTACCAGTGCGTCTTGGGCTTCATCGGGGACGTCGACAGCGACGCGTGGCCGTAGAAGTCGACGTCGAACCAGAGCACGAGCCCGTTTACCATCACCTCTTCGTCTTCGTCGTCGGCGTCGGCGTCGGCGGCGGCGGCGTCTTCGTCTTCGGCGGCGTCTTCTCCTCCTCTCTGTCCTACTCCCTCTTCTTCTCCCGTTCCTCCTCTCCCCCCGCTCGTCTTCTTCGGCTTCTCGATCACGAGCTCGAACGCGCCGTCCGTCGGCTCGAAAAGGTCTTCAAACCGCACCGTCGCGCAGTCGATCCGCGCGACTTCCGCGGCGTCGGAGACGACGCGCTCCCGCGGCACCGTCGACACCGGCGGATCGTCGCTCCAATCCCGCCGCGTCCGCGCCGCGAGCGACGAGAAGTCGAAACCGTACACGTCGTCCCAGAACCCGACGGCGTCGTCGTACCGCTTCATATCCGACAACGCGGCGACGTGAATCGTCGCGACGTTCGGCAACACCAACCCCCCGGGCTTCATGAACCGATCCCGCGCGTCGATCACCGACGGCAGCATGCTCTCGAAGAGCAACGCGTATCCCATCCACTCGGATAACACGCAGTCCACCTTCTCCACGATCTCGTCCTCGCCGATGTCCTCCATCCGGCCTCGTATGACCTCCACGACGCCGTCGAGCCCGTTGTCCTTGACGATCCTGCGCGCGTGCTTCGCGACGCCGCTGGCCTCAACGGCGTAAACTTTTCTCGCGCCCGCCCTCGCGGCGAACATGGCTAAGATCCCGGTGCCGCATCCGACGTCGAGGACCACCTTGCCTCGCAGCTCGTCCGCGTGCGCCTCGATCGCGGCGAGATACGCGCCCGTGCGCGTCTCGTCCGCGATCATCTCGCGGTGGATCCCGACGCCGCCGTACGAGTCGAAGTACGAGCCGTCCGCGCGGGCGTCTTCGCGCGACGCGTTCAGCATCGCGAGCTCCTCCTCGGAAAGCGCGCCGTCGATGGACCACCCTTCGCCGTCGTCGTAGAAGTCCGGCTCGTCGTCGTGCTCGATGTCGTAGAAGGTGAGCTCGGAGTAGATGTCCGCGGGGTCCTCGGGTTCGCACAGCTCCGGCAAAGGGGGAGACGGCGGGCGCTCCGGCGCGGCGCTTGACGACGCCGACGCCGATTCGTCGGCGGCGGCGGCGAGCGTCGTCGTCCTCCGTCGCGGCGGCGGCGGCGACGACGACGCGCGAGGACGACGACGCGATGAAACGCGCGGCGCGACGACGCGGTTCGACGACGGCGCGCAATCGCGCGCGAGGTGCGCGCATCGCGACGCGGCGAAGCTCACGGAGGCGGACGCCATGCCGTCCGTCGCCGACAGCGCGGCGAGGAGTGATGGATGGAAAGTGCGCATTATCGTTCAGTACGAGGTTTTTTAAACCATCAGACCGATCGATGCGTCGCAGTGTGTCCGGCACCCTCGCGGCTCCCGAGCGCGCGAGATGGGGAAGAAAGGTTTCAACCGCCGGAGGGGCGGCGGCGGCGGCGGCGGCGGCCGCGCGGCGGCGCAGACGGAGGCGGAGCAGTACGCGGAGCTCCTCGAGCTCCTGAGGCGGCACAACGAATCGTCCGAGGCGGAGCGGCGACGCGCGAAGAATCGATCGCGATCGGTCCTCGCGCTCGCGCTCGCGCTCGCGCAGGTGATCCTCGGGATGTTCCTCCTCGCCGCGGAGCAGCTCTTCCCGAAGAAGGAGACGTACGAGCGCAGGCGAGGGCGGACGATGCCGGAGACGACGACCGAGGAGGCGCGCGGACGCGGCGCGGACGGCGGCGACGCGTCGTCCTCGGGGGCGGGGGCGGGAGGGCCAGATCCGAACGCCGAGACGGACGAGCCGTCGATCAAGGTCGCGAGCGACCCGTTCGAGGTCCTGGAGTTGGACGCCACCACCGCGACCAAGGCGGACGTCACGAGGGCGTACAGGAAGCTCGTCGCGAGGTGGCACCCGGACAAGAACGGGCAGAGCGCGGAGAGCGTCGCGATGACGCAAGCCATCAACGCGGCGCGCGCGCAGTGCGTGAAGAAGCTAGAGGGGGGCGTGGAGCGCGACGACGGCGACGAAAACGCGGCCGGCACCGCGGAACGCGGTGACGACGACGACGCGACGGACAGCGACGACGACGTCGGCGGCGCGGACCACGAGGAGAAAGCGAGGCGACGCGCGGAGCGGGCGTACAGGAAAGAGTTGGAGAGGGCGGAGCGCGAATACGCGCGACGGAGGAAAGAGGAACGGAGACGCGTGAGGGAAGAGGCGCGCAAACCCGGGGGGCGGTACCGGCGACAGAAGGCGGCGCACGAGCACGCGCGGAGAGAGAGCGCGAAACGCGAGGCGGAGGAAGGGGGCGGCGCGGGCGCGGAGGGCGAGGGGGACGCCGCGAACGCGAACGCGAACGCGAACGCGACGCGCGTCAACAGGAAGAAGAATAAGAAGAACAAAAAAGACAAGAGCGGTCGATACAGGGCCGACTCGGACGACGACGGCGACGAGGCCGGCGGCGACGGCGAGGGCGGCGCGCTCCCGCCCGGCGCGCCGAAACCCCACCATCTTCGCATGGAGCGGTGCGCGCACGACGTCGCGTGCGCGATCCGCGCGGGCGCGAACCTGACGCTCTACGAACTCCTTCAGTTCGCGTTCCCGCCGCTCCTCGAGGTGGACGAAGACGGCAACACGCCGATGCACTACGCCGCGCGTTTCGACCCCGCGCTCGTGGACGTGATCCTCACCGTCGTCGGCGACGAGTGGACGCGCGCGGTCTTGATCGAGAACAACCACGGAGAGAAGCCGGTCGACGCGCTGTCGCCGGAGACGGAGGACGTCACCGCGGAGACGGCGGCGGCGGCGGACCGAGGAAAAGACAAAGACGACGGCACCTCGCCCGCCGCGCGCGAGGCGCGAGAGCGCTTTAGAGAGGAGGCCGCGGCCAACGCGGAGCTCAGTCGCCGCGGCGCCGCGCGGCTGCGGCAGCTCACGGCGCACGCGATGGACAAGGAGGAGGCGAGGAAGCGCGCGGAGCGTCGGACGTTTGACGCGTTCGGTTTCGGCCGCCTCAGGTGCGTTCTATACAAACGTTTTTCACCCATCGCCCGGTTTCAAAATTTGATCGCGTTCACTTTCAACTGACCGGTGCACTGTTTTTGTATGGAATGGCCCTCAGCGTCGTGATCGGCGGCGCGTGCGTCGTCGCGCGCGTCGTCTTGTGGACGAACGTGTGGTTCAGATGGTGGTTCGCCATCGGCGGGGGTCTCGGCGTGCTCGTCTGGGGGCTCGCGCACTTTGGCGTGAAGGACATGAAGGACGCGGCGGAGGAGGGCGGCGAGGACGCGGGGGCGGCGGCGGCGGCCGGGGGCGGCGGCGGCGCGCACCCGCACGAGGAATGAGGTAGGGTACTAGAAGCAGAAGACGATGTATAACGTAACGTACGCATAACATCCGTTATGTTATCCCGTTGTTATTATTTTTGTTTCGTTCGTCGCCGGCGCCCTTAACCCACGACCTCGTTCTGGTCGTTCACCCACTCGTCTCTCGCGTCGCCGCCGCCGCCGCCGCCGAGCCCCCCCAACGCGAACCCGTGCTCCACCCCGCGCGCGAGCATCTTATCCCTGCTCGCGATGTTTGACGTTCCATCTTCCTTCTTCGCGCCGCTTTTCAACGCGGACGAGCTCATGTGCGTCCGGTCCCAATCCTCGCTCCCGCACTTCGCGCACCGGTGATTCGGGTACGGCTTGTTCAGAGTCTCCGCGCGGCCGAAGCACCGAGCGTTGGCGCACTTGAACCACCGCTTCTCCGCGTCGACGCGCGTCGCCCTGTGCCCGGCGTCCACGCACGACTGCTTCGGTCGGCGGTCGAAGAGGTGCCCGCACGCGCACTTCGACGCGCTCACTCTCATCGAGATCGTCGACGTGATGCGCGCGTGGAGCGCGTCTTGTTTCTCGAGCGCGCTCAACGCGTCGTCTAAACGCGACGCGTCCTCCGCTTTCGCGGCGTCTTCGTATTTCGACTTCGCGTCCATCCCCGGCGCGGCGACCGCGCCGAAGACGTCCCCGAACGACCCGGGCGCGGGTTGGGGTTTTTTTCGCTGCTGTTGATGGTGTTTTTTCGCGTCCGGCGCGGCCGCGGCGTTCTCTTCTACCGCGGCGACGGCGCGTTTCCCGAGCGGAATCCTCGCCTCCCCCGGTCGGAGCAGCCCCGGAAGATTCGGCGTCGGCTTCGCCGCGGCGACGCCGCCGACGTTGACGCACATCTTCTCCAGCGGCTTACGCGTGTCGTTCGGGTCGCGGATGCTTCCCATCACCGCGCGAATCTGCGCGAGCGCGTCGTCGTCGGTCACGCCGCAGTCGTCCTCCTCCTCCATCATCACGAATCTCTCGCCCGCCGCCCCCGCAGCCCCCGCCGCCGCCGCGCCACCCGCCGCCGCGGCTTCCTTGTTCCTCAGAACCTCCGCGCGGGACGTAGTCGCGCCGACTCCCCCGCCGTGCCTCCCCCCCAACGACAACGACCCCCCCCTCCCGGCGGCGGCGAACGCGTCGTTCGCGCGCGCCCGCCTCTGCGCCGACATCGCCTCGCTCGCCGCCGTCGCGGACCAGTCCCCGCCGTTCGCGCCCCTGACCGGCATCCCGCCCATCAACGCCGCGCCTCGCACGCTCTTCGCGGACTGCTTCAAGTACATCTTCTGTCGATCGAGGTCCGTGTACGTGCGCTCGGGGGGCTCTCGCTTCGCCGCGCCGCCGCCGCCGCCGCCGCCGCCGCCGCCGCCTTCTCTCCACGCGCGCGCGCTCGGCGGCGCGTTCGGCGCGCCGCCGACGCCCTTCTTCCCCATGACCATCTTCCCCCCTCTCGTGAACTTCGGCGCCCGCCCCGGTCCGAGCGCCATGCGCTGCGTGCTCAGACTCTTCAGCGCCGCCGTCGCGTGAAAGACGCAGTACTCGCACGTCGACGCGTTGACGTGCATCGTGCACGGCTTCCCGTCTCTCCGAACGCCCTTGCATCGCGCGTAGTCCGGGGACGTCCCGAGCTTCATCAGCGACCGCGGCTCGTCCACCGCGACCGTGAACGCGGGCTTGGGCTTGCCGAGCCCTCCCCTGAGGACGACTGACTGCGAGGACTTCTCGTCCGCGCGCAGCTTCCCGTCCACGATCGCCCAGATCGTGCCCTCCATCTCGCGGTGGTTATCCAGGTGCGCTTGTCCGAAGAGAAACGCCGTCACGGTGACGTCGTTCGGGCCGAGATCGCCGAGCTTCCACACGGAGTACGTGTTGCCGTTCGACCCCGCGCGCGTCTGCTTCTCGAGGAGGACGCCCATCGTCGCCCAGCGCGTGTCGACGTCGTGCCGCAGGTCGCCTAGGCGGAAGAACCGCAGGTCCGAGAATATGTCCTCGAGCACCATGGACGCGACGAGTCGGTTGCGGATGCGCAGGCCGCTGAACTTCTCGACGGTCTCCACCCTCGCTTGCTTCGCGCGGATCGCATCCTTTGCCTTCTCCGCGCGCTCCCGCTCGCTGTGCACGGTCGTGAACGCGTGCATGGCGCCACCGCGGCGTCGGATCGTCTGATGAGAGGAGATCGGAGAGCTGACGACGACGTTTGAACCGACGACGACGACGACGACGGCCCATAACCGTTTTCTCGGAAATGATAGACCCTATCAGATCGCGTATTTTCACCCACGCCTCGGGTTCAACGCTTGACCGACGTGCCTTTCAACCGACCGATGAACATCGAAAAGCCTGCACTCCGCTTCGCCTGCACTGCAGATCCTGTCTAGCTAGGGATCCCCGTCAGCTTGTTCTGGGACCGCGCGAAAGGACGCGCACTCGCTAACGCGCGCGCGGGGCGCCGGCTCGACCCGCGACTCGCCCCGCACGTCGCGCCAAACCCTCGCGCGCGTCCCTCGTCGCGTCGCGTCGCGTCATGCCGCGCGACGCCGACGACCGCGACGTCCCCCGCGGGTCCCCCCCGGACAAGGCGCTCATCGTTCACCCGCGGTTCAAACACCTCGCGCGCCTTCCTCCGCTCGAGTTTTGCCCCATGGACTGGCTCCCCGACGAGGTCCTGCGGAACGTCGTGTCGCACCTCGACGGCGTCTCCCTCGCGAAGCTCTCCACGGTGTGCACGCGGACGCGGTATTTATGCGACGACGAGCGCGTGTGGCGCGACGCGTGCGCGGACGCGTTCCCGCTCGTCTTCGGCGGGATCAGAGGCGAGGACGACGACGAGAGGCCGGCGCCGTGCGACGGCGGGTGGAGAGAGGCGTACAAGACGCATCACACCGTGCTGTACGAGCTGTTCCGCGGCGGCGGGACGAGCCGCGCGATGGAGGGGCGCGTGCACGGCGCGTTAGGGGAAGGCCTCGGCGCGATGTCGAGCGGGAGGTACGGACGCGTCGGCATTCGCGTCGACGCGTGAGGTGGGTGGATGATGATCATAAAAAAGTTTTATCCTCGCGGAGGCGCGGAGAGGAGAACGCGCGACGTGCGGCTGTACGATACCCGATACCTTTCTTCAGCGAAGGAAGGAGGGAGTGTGAGATGTGTGCTGTGAATAGACTATTGTAACATACGTGTACGTGTACCTACGACCGACGACGCGAAGAGGAGTACTTAGACTGCACGCGCTACTCGAAGTCTCCGGCGTCGTCCTCCCCGCCGTCGCTCTCGCTCATGCCGTCGTCCGTGCCGCTGCCGTCGCCGTCGTCGCCGTCGTCCTCCTCGACTTCGTGCCCGTCGCCGTCGTGCATCATGTCCGTGAGCGTCCCCCTGACGGTCTTCTGCCCGAGCGGGACCGTGTCCGCGAGCGCTTGGCGTATCATGTTCCTCTGCGCGCGACGACGACGACGACGACGACGGAGCGGGGGAGAGGCGTGAGGGGAACGGAACGGACGCGTCGATGGATGTTTCGTCGAGACCGCGGGCGCGAACGGCGGACGCACCTGCGCCTCTATCGTCGCCTCCATGCGCCGTATCGCCGCGGACTCGTCCACCGCGACGCACGCGGCGCCGATCCCGCGCGGCCTGACCACCGCGCACGCGCTCGGGAACGCCAACGGCGCGAGAGGAAGCATCCCGTGCGCGCGGCGTCGAGTGATGAAGTCGCCTGAAGAAGTCGTCTCCTGATGACTGTGAGGTACTGTGGATCATCAGTCGGTTTCAGCGCTCTACCGTACGCCTCGCCCCTCCGTCTAACCGCCTACTAAAGTCGCTAAGTAACGCTACAGATACGGGCGCAGCGCGTCCGCCCGCCGTCGCTCACACTCGGAGGTGCGTCGGGAGCGGCCCGACCGCGGACGCGTCCTCGTCGCCCTCGCCCTCGTCCTCCGACCCCGACCCGTCACCGTCGCCGTCGCCGTCGCCGTCGCCGTCGCCGTCGTCGCTTTTCGCCGCGTCCCCCCCGCCCTCCGCGGTGGTCCCTCCCGCGCCGTCCATCCACGTCCGCAGCGCCGCGAGCTCGGACGCGCACATGAGCTCGTTCAGCGCGTACACCTCGATCCGTCTCCGCTCCTTGTCCGCGCCCGCGCGGACGCGCGCGTCGCGCGCCGTCGATCGCTCGAGCGCGTCTAACGCGTCTCGCCGCGCGACGGCGGCGTCGCGCGACTTTTTCCGCAGCTCCACGCGACGTCTCGCCTCCGCGGCCGCGCCCTCGACGGCGGCCGAGGGCGAACGCGAACGCGAACGCGAGTGCGGCGACGAAGTCGACGACGACGCCGACGCGGCGGCGGCGCGCGCGCGCTCGGCCGCGGCCGCTTTCGACGCCGCGACGCGCGCGGCGGCGGCGCGCGCCGCGTCCGTCGCCGCGGCGGACGGCGGCGCGTCCGGGACGCGCCGCGAGCTCTCCGCGCGCGACTCGAGCTCCGCCGCTCTCGCCGCGGCCGCGAGCTTCGCGGACTCGACGCGCGCGGCGGCGGCCGCGGCGGCGGCGGCGCGACCTGGGGCGCCGACGGAGGAGGACGCGCGCGGCGCGGCGACGCCGCGGACGCCGCGTCCGGGGGAATGATGAGCGTCCGCCGCCTGCGTCGCGTACAGCCGCCGCGCGCGCGCGAACGCCGTCGCGCTCGCGGACCGTCGCGGCGGATGGTGGTGGTTCCTCGCCGCGCCCGACGCGCTCGCGGCGGAAACGGCGGCGCGCGACGTCGCGGTCGCGCCGACCGCGCCGAAACCGACGACGGACGCTGCGTTCGCGACGACGACGCTCGACGACGAGACGTCGCGCGCGCGCGCCGCCCCCGACGGCGCGGTCGACGCCCTCGCGCCGCCCGCCTCGCTTCGCTTCCTCGACGCCGCCGGGGATATGACGCTCGGCGTGTACGGCGCGCCCGCGCGGTCGCGCGTTCGCGCGCGATGCGGCGTCGACGGGCCCGCGGCGTCGACGGCGGTTCCGGCGTTTGCGTTTCCCCCCTCCGTCGTCGTCGTCGTCGCGCCGACGATGTGCGACGCCGGCCGAGCGCCGGACGTCTTGAACGCCGCCGCGCCGGCGCTCCGCGCGCGCTCTTCTCGTATCCGCGCGGCGTACCGCGCGCCCGCGTGCCGCGACGATCGCGTCCGCGCGGCGTGCTGCGCGTGGAGCGACGACGGCGCCATCTTCGCGCCGACGACGGCGAGCCCGCCGAGCGACGCGACGAGCGATGATTCCGTTTCGGCGCCGCGCGACGACGAAGGACCCTGGGGCACCGCGAGCCTCGACGACGACGCGCGACGCGACGACGCGCCGCGCGGCGCCTCCGCGCCGGGAGGCCGCGTCGCGAGCATCGACGGGCGCCGCGCGCGCGTCGCGCGGTCGACGGACGCGACGGGTGTGTGCGTTGACCCCGGCGCCTCTCTCGCGTTTCGTGACGCAGCAGCATTCAGAGCGCAGCGAGAGAAACCTGGCATGGCAGCGCCACACACACGGCGAGGCGCCCCCCCGACGGGCGCCGCCGCGATGCCGCGCGTCTCCTCCACCGCGCGCTCGCTCCACCGCGAGCACACGTCCACGCCCGCGCTCCTGCGCCTCTCCGCGTCCGCGGCGGCGATGAACGCGGTGATCCCCCTCGCGCTCGCCGTCCAGATCGCGCTCCTCGGGCGTCTCCATCGGAGTCGCGGCGAAGGCGCGACGACGCAGGCGGCGTTCGGGCTGTGCGTCACCAGCTGCGGCGTCGGCGTCACGGTGTTCAACTTCCTCGTGGACGGCGTCACCGCCAAGGTGGGCGAGCGCGTCGGCGCGCGGCGATGGCGCGCCGCCGCGGGGAGGGTCCGCATGGCGATCGCCGCGGCGCTCGCGTGCGGATGCGTCGCGACGGGCGCGCTCCTCGCGCTGCGAGAGACGCTCTTCGCGCTCTTCGCGATCGAGGGATCGGACGTCGCGGTTCGCGCGAGGACGTACTACGCGTACCGCGCGCTCGGCATCGCGCCGCAGTGCGTCGCGAGCAGCCTCGGCGGGTGCTTGGGAGGGTACCGACGCGTCCACGCGGCGACCGCGCTGTCGACGACGCGCGCGATGGTGGAGACGATCGCGGTCGCGGCGACGCTGACGCTTTCCGCGGACGCCGACGTCGTCATGCGCCGCATCGGGATCGCGTACGTGCTCGTCGTCGTCGCGCACGCGCTGGTCGGCGGCGCGCTCGTGCTCGGGCTGACGCCCGAGGGCGCGCCCGGGCCGCTGGCGATACTTCCGGCGAAGTGGGCGCGAGCGCGGAGGAGGGGGTCCGACGACGCGGCCGGCGACGACGGCGACGACGGCGACGGCGACGCCCTTCTCGCGCCCGCGCGCGCCGGGGACGACGACGAGACCGACGCGGAGGAGGGATGGATGGACTTCGCGTGCGACGGCGCGTCGATGCTGATACGCTCGATCCTCCTGCAAGGTAGCTTCTTCGGCGCGATGGTCGTCGCGAGCCGAGAGCTGAACGAAAAAGGCCTCGCCGCGCACCACGTCGTGTCGCAGCTGTGGATGTTATCCGCGTACGTCGTGGACGGGTTCGCGACGGCCGGGACGGTGGTCGGGAGTCGCCTGGTGGGGATGGCGGTCGCGGGGGATGGGAGAAGGGGGGGGGGCGACGCCGACGACGACGACGACGACGACGACGACGCCGACGACGACGACGACGACGACGACGACGACGACGACGACGACGACGACGACGACGAAACCGCCGCCGACGTCTTGCCCGCGCTCCGTTCGGCGTGTCTCCGTCTGCGCGTCTTCGGCGTCGTCACCGGGCTCGTCTTCGCCGCCGCGCTCCTCCTCCTCCGCGATCGCATCGTCGCTCTGTTCACGGACGACGAAGACGTCGTTCGAACGCTCGCGGCGCCGGCGGTGTGGACGAAGCTGTCGCTCGCGCAGCCGCTCAACGCGCTCGTGTTTACGCTCGACGGTCTCGCGTACGCGTTTCAGGATTTCGGGTTCGTGCGCGAGATGTTCATCGCCGGCGTGGGGCTCGTGTTCGCCCCCGCGCTGACGTTCGCGGCGGTCGCGCGAGCGCCGAGCTTGGGGGGGATATGGACCGCGAAAGTGGCGTTAAACGTCTGGAGGGCGACCGTTTTGTCGATTCGGCTGAGCGCGTATTGTCTGACGGAGACGGGGTTCGAGAGCGTCGCGGAGAGGCTGCGGCGGGGGGAGGCGGACGCGGCGAGGAGGAGGAGACGGCGGCGGCGGCTGATGCGGCGGCGGCGGCGGGCGCGTGTGCGGGGAGAGGGGGGTTTGGATGACCTCGAGGCGTCGCTGTTGTCGGGAGACGAGGAGGGCGGGTAGAGCCGGTCGCGCGACGCGTCTGGTCGCAAATATTTATTTCATCTCACGCAACTTCGAGGTTAGGGATCTCGCAAACCCTGCCGCCGCGCGGCGCCCCGCGCCTCGGGCGTCCTCGCCCCCCACTCCCATACATACCCCCTCCGCGTGCGCGCCGCTCGCGATATGGACCGCACGCCCGCGGTCGACGCGGAGCTCGCGCGGCTCCTCTCCATCGCGGACGCGCGAGACGTCGCGGCGTCGGACGCGGAGACGTCGGCATCGGGCGCGGACGGCGACGGCGCGCTCTACCTGCGCGAGGTGGCGAATCGCGCGCGCGCCGCGCACGACGCGGTCCGCGCGCTCGTGGAGTCCGCGCCGTCGTCGTCGTCGAAGCCGCGGGGCCCGCTCGCCATCCCGCGCGTGCGCTGCGAGACGCTGTCGCTCGCGCGATTCCGCCGCGACTTCGTGATCCCGCAGCGACCCGTCATCATCGTCGGGCTCGGTCCGCACCTCACGTCGGACGGCGCGAATGCGAGCGACCTGCGTTGGCTGCGAAAACACGGCGCGTCGAAGAAGGTCGCGGTCTCCGTGGACAACGCACACGTCGCGTCGACGCTGTCGTGCGGCGGCGTGGAGATCGTAAACCTCGGCGATCACCTCGACGTGGTCTCGGCGCTGGACGAGGATCCGCCCGTGAACGAGCGCGACGCGCGGTTCGGGAAGAGGAGAGGCGACGGATCGTATCTGTACGACTGCGCCATCCCGCTGAAGCTGCCGTCGCTGTCGCACGGCGTGCGCGTGCCTCGGTACTTCGCGCACGACTTTTTGCAGCGCACGCGGATGACGCACGCGTTCAGCGCGTCGTGGCCGAGCCTGTTCGTCGCCGCGCCGCACACGCGGAGCTCGCTCCACGTGGATCAGTGGAAGGGGAACTTTTGGATGGCCATGGTCAAGGGCACGAAGCGGTGGACGCTGTTTCACCGGGAGGACATTCCGTTCTTGTCCCCGGACTACGGGAGAGGGACGTTGGACCCGGGATTTCCGAGCTTGGTCGAGCTCGACGCGTCGCGGGTTTCGGCGGCGAACGCGGCGACGACGACGACGCGCCGCGGCGACGGGATCGGGGATTCGCAAAAACTCGACGCGGACGCGGCGGCGTCGAGCGCGCGAGAGACGGAAACCACACATGAAACGCCCGCGTCTCATCCGTTTCTGGAGTACGCGCGAAGGTGGGACTGCGACCTCGGACCCGGAGAAGTGTTATTCGTCCCCGGCGGGTGGCCGCACCACGTCCACAACCTATGCGTCACGGTGTCGTTCGCGGGGAACTTCGTGGACGAGGTGCGTTCTATACACTGGTCCCCATACGACCGCGTTGGCGTGGTGAACGCCGTTCCTTAAGGACTTTGCCCGGCGTTTCTCTCCGCCCACCCCTTGCGTTCAATCCCCGCCCGCGTTGCCTTTCAACTCCAACTGACGCCTTTCGACTCCACCCCGACGTTCGCTTGTATGGAACGACCCTCAGAGCAATCTCGACGACGCGCTCTTCGACATGAAACTTCTCGGGAACAAGTACGGGCCGCAGATGATGGCGACGCACGACGCGCTCGACGAGGTGTGGTTCGATCCGGAGGATGAAACGCTCGTTGAGGAGACGTTAGAAGCGAAGCAGCTCGTCGTGCGCGTGGAGGATTACCGCGGCGGCGTCGCGAGTCGGTGGGGGAAGGACGACTGGGACGGGGCGACGTCAGACGACGACGACGACGACGACGACGGCGGCGGCGGCGGCGGCGGCGACGGCGGCTGAGAGCGGAGACCGCGAGAAGAGGCGGTCGCGCGTCCGGGGGCGTCTCGCGAAGGCATCGAAAGCGCGCGGCGCGCGCGCGAACCCGGGAAGACGCGCGCGCGGCGCGCGCGATCCGCGAGGGGAGGCTGTCGAGAACGCGATTTGCCGCCCGCGCGCCCGTGACGTGGCGGAGAGCGGGCTCGAAGTGGATCAGGCGTTTCTCGAAACGCTAACAACGTCTCGTGGGTTGCCCGAAAGGTTAGTTTGGTGTCGACGAGTTTTTGAATTCCCGTACGCGTAAACAGTCAGAGTACGAAATGCGCGTAGTACGGTCCGAAAAGGCCGGCCGACCGGACGCGACTGAGCGGGAAAACAACAAAACCATTCGCGGTCGCGTGGAGGTGCCACTTCTCCGCGCGTCGCCTCAGCGCACACGCGTCGGACGTCAAGACTTGCGTCGCGCGCTCTACGGAGACGCGTCGAAGCGTGTTCTCGAACGACCGCCTCGCGTTCGTTCTTTATTCTCGTCGCGCGCGCGCGTTCTCGGGTCGTCAGTCCCGCGAAAGGTCTTCGCGCTTTTTTTCCGCGTTGCGACGAATCGAGATTGACTCGCGCGTGTCCTCTCGGAAACCCTCCGCGCGCGTGCGATTGAGCGATCGATCGCGCACGAAACGCGCGTCCGGGCGTCATGAGCGATAACAATAAGATGTCCGCGGGGATGTTTACCCCGGAAAGGCCGCTGACGACCAACGGGAGCACGGACAACATGGTGCGCGCGCGCGCAGATATTCTCCCGCCACGTTGTTTTTCCCCGCGTGCTGCCTGCGAGATCGTCGCCGGCGCGCGCGCGTCGCGCGCGCAATTCCGCGCTGATCGCCGTCGACGTCGCCGGAACGTCATCTCGCGTGTGTTTTCTAACCTTAACGTCCTCGTTCCCGTCTTCACTACGTTCGCAGGCGTCGCTTCTGTCGTCCCCGTTCCTGCTCTTCGCGAACGCGCTATCTCCCATCACGCCCTCGCGCGCGCTCCTCGCGCAGGGGGTCTCGGACGCGCAAGCCGCGGCGCTGTCGTCGTTCCCGCAGCGCTCGCCCGCGCCGATGTGCTTCAACTCCCCGTCCGGGTTCAAGAGGTGCGCGCGCGCTCCCGTTTTTCCCGACATCGCGCGCGCGCGACGCGCCCGGACCCCGGGACCCGTTCCCGCCTCGCGAGGTTTTCCCTGCCGTCTCACGCCTCCCGCTCTCTCCCCTCCCGCTTCGCATCGTGAACAGCGGCGCGAACGCGCACGCGAAGGACCGGAAGAAGAGCGCGCTGAACAAATCGAACGGCGCTGACGGCGTCGAGGACGTCGCCATGAGCGCGGACGCCGCGGTGATCGCCGCGGTGTCCGCGTTGGCGCAGTCGCCGCTCCGCCCGGGCGTCCTCGACGACGTCACCGACGTCGCGTCCGTCGCGCAGCTCCGCAAACAGGTGCGAAAAAAAGAGAGAAAAGAGCGCCAAAACGATCGATCGATACCACGCACGATCCCTCCCGATCGCGGCGCGCCTCTCCTCGATCGCCGTGGCATTGGCCCGTTTTTCGACGCGCGCGCCTTCCCTGAGTCGCATTCGTCGACGCCTTCTCGATTCTGCCCGCGATATCCCTCTCACGCGACGAGCGCGCGCTGACGATCGCCTCTCCCCCCCCGATCGCGAATCCGATATTATTTGTCCTCTCGCGCTCCGCCTCTCGTCGTTTTGCCTCCTCCCTCGCAGCTCGAGAACGAGTTCAACGTGAACCTCACGGAACCGGAGTCGAACGTCGTGCGATCGATCTCGCGACTCGAGAAGGAGCTCCTCCAGCTCGACGACGAGCTCGACCTCGACGGCGGCTACGGCCGCGGCCGCGTCGACGGCGGCGCGAACCTGAGAGGCGCGGCGGCGAGAGGCAGACGCGACGCGGGCGCGGGCGCCCCCGCGGGCGTCGGCGCCGTCGCCGCGGAGGCGTCCGAGGCGATGGAGGGCGCGAAGCGCTCGTCCACGACCGGCGCGTCCATGGAGTGGCCGCACGGGCTCTCGAAGACGGTGAAGAAGGATGGCGAGGACTCGCCGCGGATGAACTCCGCGACGATGCGCGGGCAGAGAGCGCGGTTGGTCGCCCTCGGCGCCGCCGGGAAGAAGGGTGGGAAAAAATCCGCCGACGGCGCGCTTCTGGACGACGCGGGGCGGCCTTTATCCGCGCCCGCGAGCGGCAGAGGCGGCGGATCCGCGCAGAAGGGCGGTAACGGCAACGCGAACAGGCGTCTCAGCGGCGCGAACGCGATGTCCACGCCCGCGGTGAAGGACTCCAGGGCGCCGCGTTTCAGCGCGGACGGCTCCGGGTCCGTCCTCTGCACGCCGGTGAATTTATTCGGCGGCGGAGGGAAGGGCGGCGGCGACACCCCGGAGAGCTGCGCGAGCAAGAAGTGCAACTGCAAGAAGAGCAAGTGTCTGAAGCTTTACTGCGAGTGCTTCGCCGCGGGGGCGTTCTGCCAGGACTGCTCATGTCAGAACTGCCAGAACACGCCGGACAACGCGGCGCTCGTCCAGATGACGCGGACGCAGATCGAGCTGCGAAACCCGCAGGCGTTTGCGAACAAAATCGTCGCGACGGACGGCGAAGAGAAGCACAAGAAGGGGTGCCACTGCAAGAAGAGCGCGTGCCTGAAGAAGTACTGCGAGTGCTTCCAAGCCGGGGTGCTGTGCCAGGAGTACTGCAAGTGCGAGGGGTGTAAGAACGCCGGCCCGGACGGGCCGTTCGGCGCGACGCCGCCGGCGGCGACGGCGGCGGCGAAGTCGTCCAAGTCGAAGGCGTCGAACGCGAAGTCGGCGGCGGCGGCGGCGGCGGCGACGACGACGACGACGACGGCGGCGATGATGGGCGGCGCGATGCCGTCCCCCGGCGCGCTCATCAACGACGACGAGGCGGATCTCATCATCGAGGAGTTGATGATGAAGAGCCCCGGACGAGGCGGCGCCGCCGCGCTCGCCGTCGCCGAGGAGCTCGGTTTGGATCTCCTCCAGAGCCCGCCGAAAAAGGCGGGGAGCGGCGCGGGCGCGGGCGCGGGCGCGGGCGCCGCGTCGTCCGGGTCGACGCCGCCGTCCGCGGCGCCCGACGCGGTGCACGCGACGCCGATGAAGAGAGCGGAGATCTCCCCGCTCACCCCCGGCAGCGGCACGATCATGCGCGCGGGCCCGGGGCGCGTGACCCTGAACGGCGGCGGGGCCGTGTTTGAGCGCACGACGCGCAGCAAAGTCCCGCCGCCGCGATTCGGGGACGACCCGGCGACGCGGAAAGCCGCGGTGGAGGCGGCGACCGCGGCGGCCGCGGCGGCGGCTGCCGCGAGCTCGGAGAAGACGCCGAACACGATCACGCGCAAAGCGACGCGATCGAGGGCGTTTGGCTCGCTCGCGAGCGGCCACGATTCGCTTCAGGGCGGGATGATGACGACGCTCGGGTCGCCCGTGCCTCTTAGCACCCCGGAGGGTTTCGAGTAGAAGAGAAGAAAGTGAGGCGGCGGGGCGGGTTCGAGCGGCCGGGCCGGCGGCGCGAACCGGAGAGGAGAGGAGGAGAGCGGTGGGAGAAGAGAAGAGAAGCGTCGTCGACGATGACGATGACGAACGAGGGAGGCGGTTCGGTTCGCACGAGACTCGCGCGAACCGAGGGACGACGGTACGGAGGGACATTTTACCGGCGGGAAGCGACGACCTACGCGACGGGAACTTAAACTAGATGTGTATACCCTAACATGCTCGCTGTGTCAATTCCAAATTATCCATCAACGAAAGGCAGCGCGGGAGTAGTTTCATCATCACAACGCTCGACTACAGTCCGTCACTTACATCGACAGCAGCTTCTTCGCCCTGAGATACATCACCACCGAGGCGAAGACCAGCACGCTGGCCGCGCCGGAGACGAAACACACGTCTCGAAACGCTTGCTGATCCGACTCCCAACCCGTCCTCAGGTTCATCCCGAACACCCCGGCGACCATGGAGAACATCCCGACCGCGAGCATCCCGTTGGAGAGAAGTAAATCGATCCGTATGAGCTGGTTCCGCTGCGAGTCCAACGAAATCTCCGCGAGATCTTCGGTATCCTCGATCGCGTCGCGGAGTTCGCAAAGCCTCTTGTGCGAGTAATCCACGTGCATGTAGTACGCCTCCAGTAGCGCTTCCACGCCCTCGTGGGCTTCGTCGTCGGGATCCGAGCTTCGCGTGGACGACTTGGACGAGGAGGAGGAGGAAGAGGAAGAAGAAAGGGAGGACGCGGAGGAGGAGGAGGACGGGGAGCGGCTGGATCTGTCGCGTCCGCGGCGGCGCTCGCGGCGACGGCGCGGCGCCGAAGCCGAAGCCGGCGTCGCATCCGACCGCGGTTCATCGCCGCCGCCGCCGCCGCCGCCGATGGAAGCGGACGCGCCGTCTGCGTCGCAGTCGCGCTGGTCGAACGATGCGTTCGTCGTCCACGTCATCGACAGGTTCTTCTCGTCCGTGCCGTCGCCGTCGCCGTCGCCGTCGCCGTCGCCGTCGCCGTCGCCGTCGCTTCTCGGCCGCGGCGACCGCGACGGCGGCGCGTGCGTCCCGTGCCGCGCCGCTTCCTCCGCCTCCAGCGCCTCCTTCCTCGTCAAGCACATGTCCGTCATGTCGTCGTCGTCCGCGAGCAGCTTCGCGAGCTCTTCTCTGACCGCGGCGACGCGCACGGTGAGCCCATTCATGCGCGACTGAGGGTGTTTGCCCATACGAAGCGACGTCGGGGCGGCGTTCGGGGGCGCGTCGGTCCAAGTCGAAAGGCGTCGAGGTCGGGGACGACTGAAAGCGCGGGACGGGCGAAGAGAAACGACGGCAAATATCCTTAAGGAACGGCGTTCACCACGCGGACGGGGTCGTATGGGGACCAGTGTGAGGAGGACGCGCCTTGACCGACCGCACGCGCTCGAGCGACCGCCGCGTCACGTGGTCCGCGAGACGTTCCAACGCCGGGGACGCGTCGCGTTCCAGCATCGTCGTCTCGTCGAGGAGACGCTGGCAGACGTCGTGCAGCGCAGCCTCGATGACCCTGAGTTCGAAAGGAAGGTCGAGGACGCGCAGGTCGTGCGCGATGTCGTGTTTCAGGCCGAGGATGTCCGTCGTCGGGAACGTTCGCGAGTCGTCGAGATCGTCGTCGTCGTCGGCGGCGGCGGCGGCGGCGGCGGCGGCGGCGGCGGCGGCGTCGTATTCGGCGCACTTCGCCGCGTCGAGGATGTCGTCCATTCCAGACTCGAGCGAGTACATCCGCGACAACGGCGGCGGCGTGGACGTCCGCGAAGGCGGCGGTTGCGGCGCGGGCACGGGCGCGAACGGCGTCGGCTTCGACGGCGACCGCGTCGGCGGGCGCGTCAGCGTCTCGGGCGCGGGTTCCGATCGCGTCCGACGCGCGCCCCCGCTCGGCGTCCACGCCGGCGTCTGACCCTCCCTCGGGGACCCGCACTCTTCTCCTCCTCCTCCCGCTCCCGGCGGCGCGAGCTGCCGCTTCAGCAGCGCGACGAACCGTCGGACGTGCGCGTCCGGCTCCGCGGAGGTGAAAAGCAACGCGTGCGTGGACACGACGATCATCTTGACGTGCTCTGAGGGTCGTTCCATACAAAGCGACGTCGGGGGGGAGTTGAAAGGCGTCAGAAGCGGAGTTGAAAGGCGTCGAGGGGGGCGGGGACTGAGAGCGAGGGCTGGGCGGAGAGATGCGCCGGGAAAAGTCCTTAAGGAACGGCGTTCACCACGCCGACGCGGTCGTATGGGGACCGGTGTATACAACGCGCCTAAGTTGACCACCACGGCTCGCGGGCGGATGAAGACGCTCGCCGTGGAGGGCGTCGGAAGCGACGGGTCTAGGATCATCAGGTCGCGGAAAGGCACCCCGAACGATCCGTAGGGTCACCACAAAACATAATAAACGGTATGGTCACGAGCGTTAATCCTACGGCATATCGACCGAAGAGAGAGTTATTACGGCGACCTCGCCTCTTTTTGCATCTCCGCCTTTGACGCCTCCAGCAGCGACACCGCGCCGCCGCGGTCGACGAGGAGCCACCGCCGGCTGAGCGCGTATCGCTTCGCTTGCACGCGGTCGTGCGGCCCCGGGGTGTGTATGATCGCGTTCGGGCCGACGACGTAGCCGTAGCCCGCGGACGACGGCGACGGGCGCTCGAGCGGCGGCGGCGGCGACGTCGTCGGCGTCGAGGGCGAGCGCGCGCGCGACCCCGCCCTCGGAGAGAGCCCACCCGCGTCGCTCGCGGCGCAGCCGCCCTCCATCGCGTCGGCGCCGAGGAGCGGAGCGACGAGGCACTCGCGCGATGGGGACGTCGCGCGCGCGTCGAGTCCGAGCGACGTGCGCGCGCGCATGGACGTGTGCGCGCGTCGCGGCGCGCGCGGAGGCGGCGGCGGTCGTCTCTCGGACGCCTCAGCTCGGACGAGACGACGCGACGACCGCGAGACGAGCGCGCCAGGCCGGACTCTTCCCAGCTGACAGCTGCGCTGCGTTTCAAAAGCGCGGCGCGCGATGGACGCCGCGACGCGCCGCGCCGCCGCGGCGGACGCGACCGCCGCCTCGCGCGCCCACCCTCACCCCGCTCCTCCAATCGCGCTCGACGTCGCCGCGTTCGATCGCTCGTCGCTGACCGTCTACCTCAACGACGCGCTCACGCTCGTGTTCGAGAACCGCCCGGAAGATCCGATCGCGTTCTGCGCCGATTACCTTCGACGCGTCCTCAGGTGCGTTCTATACACTGGTTCCCATACGACCGCGTTCGCGTGGTGAACGCCGATCCTTAAAGACTTTGCCCGGCGCGTCTCTCCGCCCACCCCTTGCGTTCAATCCCCGCCATCGACGCCTTTCAACTCCATCTGACGCCCATGAACTCCACCCCGACATCGCTTCGTATGGAACGACCCTCAGCGGCGCCGGGCCGGTGCCGCGCGCGTACCAGTTCCTCACGCTGTGCCCGCATCACAGGACGGCGTTCATAGACAACGCGGTCGTCGCGTTCGGGGTGCTGGAGAAGGAGCGCGGCGGCGTCAGCGCGGGAGACGCGAAGGCGGTGATGCAAATGCTGTGCGCGGATTTCCCGCGGGAGGTCGCGGTCGCGGTGCTGCGAGCGTTGGGGAGGGGGGACGACGACGACGCGGAGGACGTGGACTTTTTCGAGTTCCTCGGCGGCGTGCGCGCGTGCTTGGCGTTCGAGGAGGCGCTGGGGGAGGTGGAGAGGGCGTTCGCGATGTACGGCGCCGCGGACGGCGACGACGCAGCCGGCGGCGGCGACGGCGGCGAAAATGAAAACGAAAACGAAAACGTCGTCGACGCGCGCGACGACTCCCGGACGGTGCCCAAGTCCACGCTTCGCGACGTTCTCCGACGCGTCGGCGAAGACGTCGGAAAGCGCGGGGATAAGCGATGGGACGATTTCCGAGCGCTGTCGACGCGCGTCGTCGACGCGATACCCGGGACACGGGTGACGTTTTCGCGGTTCGCGACGGCGGTGTTTCGGGCGATGGCGCCGTCGCCGTCGCCCGCGAGCGGCGGCGGCGGCGGGGTCTGGGACGCGCTCGCGTAGGGTGGTGTTAGGTAGTCGTGTGAACGTAGTATGTACACGTGCGTGTTCGTGTTCGTCGTCAGTTCGTGCGTGTTCGTGTTCGTCGTCAGTTCGTGCGCGTCGCCGCGAGCTCGGCCTCGAGCATGCGACATATCCCACGTAGATACTGAAACCCGATAGACCCGAAGTAGTTTCGGTCATAGCCGATGTCGAAGGCGACGCGAAACCACTTCAGCGCCTCTTTTTTGTCCTCCGCTACACCGCACAGGCCGTGTCGGTAAAGGTTTCCGAGATTGAATGAGTGCGCGGCCTTGACGTTCAACTCGAACGCCTTCGCTTCGTCTATATCCACGCCTTCGCCGAGCTGGTAGCACACTGCGAGGAAGTACGTCGAGTCGGCGTGCCCTAACTCTGAAGCTTTTATCAGCCACTCGCACGACTTCCTCCGGTCTTTCTCCACGCCATGGTCGCCGTGCCGATAGCACCTTCCGATCGCGTACATGCAATCAGCATCGCCGCGATCGGCCCCCTTGCGCCACCAGTAGACCGCCTCCGCGTCCTTGTGCTCGGAGTGATGAAACTCGTCACCGAGCTTCTTCAAAGCACTGAGACCACCGCCGCACGGCAACGACGCGTCCGCCTTCTCCGCGTCCCTGAACACCCTGCTCACGGCGGCGAGCGCGATGCGGTCCCTTGGGTTCGGCCCGAGGTTGGAGAAGATCACGCACGCGATGGACCCGTCGGCCTCGAGGGTGGCATGCATCTCGGATCTGGGCGTGGCGGCGGGGGGGGCGCGCGGGGAGTGCGAACTCGACGATATTTTTGCACTATTTTTGTGCGTCCAAAGAAGCCCGACCAGAATTTTGATGAAGTCAAGCGAGTCGCTCGTCGTTGTTTTCGTTCGTCGTCGCGGGCGCGCCTTCCTCGGCATTCGGACGCGCGCAACCGCACGCGAACCGCACTCGCCGCGGGTTCTTCCTCTCCCGCGTCCACGCGAGCTCAGTCCTCGCGCGCTTCGCGTCCGAAGCGCCGGAGACGCGCGCGCGCAGCCGTCGTCGTCTCGCCTTCTCCGCGCGCGAGAATTATTGCCACCTGGACGAATAATTGACAATCGATCGCGCGAGCGAATCTGAACGCGAACGCGCCTGGTGTCATGTCGACGCCGTACCAGTACCCCGCGGCGCCGCAGACCGGCTACGACCAAGGGTATCCTCAGGTGCGCGCGCGTCTCCGGCGTCGAACCCGCGCGCGTCGCGTCGACCCGACACCCCGTTCGACGACGTCGTCGTCCGTCGACGAAAAGAAATAAGTGAGTGAACGAAAACGCGAGCCCCTTCCTCCCTGACCCCCTCCCCTCCTCCTCCCCCTCAAATCCAATCCAACCCAACCCAGGCCCCGATCAACGTCGCGCCGCCCGACCCGTACGCGTCCCAGGGCTACCCCGCCGCCCCCGCGCCGCCGAACCTCGCGCAGCAGCCGCTGATGCCCGACTACAGGTCGCCCTCCGAACAACATCGCGCGCGGTCGGCGACGGCGACGGCGGCGGCGACGGCGTACGACGACCCCTACGCGGGCGGGTACGACGCGATCAACTACCCGAGCATCCCCGCGCTGATCCAGCACTCGCAGCAGCAGAGCGCTCGCGGCGCCGGCGCGGGGGGCTCTTACGGCGATAATAATAATCGATCCTCGGCTTCGTACCCCGGCCGCGCGGCCAAGCCGAACGAGGTCTCCGGCGCGACGAGCGGCAACGCGCGGTACAAGTGCATGCTCCTCCCGACCGCCGACGGCGCGGACGTCGAGGACGTCGTCTTGCAAGTCGGTCTCGACGGCGTCCGGGTGTACGACTCGAACGGCGTCGCGACGGATGGTGCGTCGCGCGCGTTCCCGCTGGAACGCGTCGCCAGCTGGCGGACTTTGGATCCGACCGTCTTTGTTGTGGTGGTCGTCGCGACCGCGACCGGGACCGGGACCGGGTCCGGCGAGGCGCAGATCGCGCTGTCCTCGGACGAGGCGACGACGACGGCGATGATGGACACGCTCACGACGGGGGCGTTTCAGTGGTGCGAGCTCAGAGGGTTCGACCCGTCCGCGACGATCGAGGACTGCGGCGGGGGCGCGTGGGCGAATAAAAAGGCGCGGCAAAGCGGCGGCGGCGGCGGCGGCGGGTCCGTCGGCGGCGGCGTCGTTCCCCCCACGACCGACCCCGAACGCCCGGCGCCGTCGATCGACTGGAACGACGGCATCGACTACTGCGGCTGGCTCTCGAAGAGAGGCGAGACGATCCAGATGTGGCGAAGGCGGTGGTTCGTCCTCAAAGAGAACAAGCTCGCGTGGTTTAAGAATAACTTTGACCAGCAGAAACAGCCGCGGCATCCGCGCGGGGTCATCGACCTCGCCGCGGTGAACACCGCGTGCACGGCGTCGAAGCACGAGGCGGGAAAGGCGCACGCGATCGATCTCATCGGAAGCGCGGACGCGGAGAAGCGAGGGTGTAAGTTTTTAGTCGCGGACTCAGAGCGGGAAGCGGACGCGTGGGCCATGGCGATTCACAAGTCGATGTCCGGCGCCGGCGCCGGGTCCGGCGCCGGCGGAGGGCAGCAGAGTTATAACGCGCCGTCCGCGGGCGTTTCCGGCGGCGGCGGTTCTTCTTCCTCCTCGCATCAGCAGCAACGACTGGACGACGGGTCCGGGCTCGGGTCGCAGCTGCACGGAGCGTTCGCGTCCGTGCCGCGGTCCGGAGGAGGGAGGGATCTCAACCCGGACATCGACGTGAGCGTGACGGGGTACACTCCGGGCGGCGGCGGGAGCGGCGGCGGCGGGAGCGCGTGGGAGCAGTTTTACACGAACGAGGGCGTCGCGTATTACGTGAACAACGTCACCGGGGTGACGCAGTGGGAGGCGCCGCGGTAGACGAAGAGACGAGAGTGCGCGGCGGCGGCGCCTGNGTNTGNGTGNGCNTGGTGGTGTTGGTAGCGGTAGCCGCGGCGGCGGTGTTCGTGTGGTTCTGGGTTGGTTTCCCCGCGTTTTTCTCGGGCGGTTCAAAGCGCGCGACGCGGCGCGGTCGACGCCGCCGCGCACCCTTCGCCGCGCGCGCCCATGGCGCGCGTCCTCGCGCGGTGGCTCCCCTGGGTTCGACCCCCCCCGCGCGACGGCGACGACGACGACGCGAGCGGGGAGGCGGCGTCGTCGCCTCGCGTCCCCCGAGACGCGACCACCGCCGCCCCCCGCGACGACGCCGCGCCTCCGCCGCCGCCGCCGCCGCCGCCGCCGCTCCCGCCCGCGCTGGCGACCGCGTGCGTCGTGTGCGACGCCGCGTGCGACGTCGCCTCGCACGCGCTCCCGTGCGGGCACTGCCTGTGCGATCGGTGCCAGATCGGCTGCGCGAAGGCGTACGTGGAGGGCGGGAGAGCCGCGGGGCGCAGCCTCCGCTGTCCCGCGCTCGTCGCGTCCCCGACCGCCAGACCCGGTCTCGGCCCCGGCCCCGTCGTGGAAGAGACCGACGCTCCCTCGGCGCGATGCCCGCGCGAGCTCGCGTCGGACGACCTCCTCGCGCTGACGCCCGTCCTCCGCGCGCGCGTCGACCGCGCGCGTCGCGAGCGCGCCGCGGGCGAGTCTCGCTCGTCGTCGCGCTTCGTCAGGCGCGTTCACCTTACGCCGGTCCCCGCGTGACCGCGTTCGCGCGGTGAACGCCGTTCCTTAAGGACTTCGCTCGGCGGTTCTCTCTAGGGCTACTACAACTACGTGTACCCATCCCACGCTTTCAACATTCGGACCGCGATGCCTTTCAACTCCAAGTCTCCAACCGACGACGCCTTTCAACTCCGCTCCGACGTCGCCTCGCGCGGAACTGACCGCCCTCCTCGTCAGACGCCGCTGCCGCCGGTGTCCCACCTGCCGAACCCCCGTCAAACGCGACGGCGGGTGCGCGCAGATGTACTGCAGGCGCTGCAACACGTCGTGGTGCTGGCAGTGCGGGCGCGAGTGCGGCGGGGAAGGGCGGCACTACGGCTTGCTGTCGTTTTGGGCGTGCCCGGCGATGCATTTCCCGACGCGGAGGTGCGATTTCCTTACACTGGTCCCCATACGACCGCGATCGCGTGGTGAACGCCGTTCCTTAAGGACTATTGCCGTCGTCTCTCTCCGCCCACACCTCGCTTTCAATCCCCATCCTCTACGCCTTCCAACGCCAACTGACGCCTTTCAACTCCACCCATCCTGTACCGGAGAGTCAACCCGGCGGTCGTCTTCGTCGCTCGATGCGTCGCCGCGGTCAATCTGATAGTCGCCGCCGTCGTCGTCCTCGTCCTCGCCGCGCTCGCGCCGTTCACCGCGCCGTTCCTCGCGACCGGCGCGTTCGTGCGCACGCTCGCGCACAAGCTCCGCGCGGAGGAGGTAGAAGACGAAGGAATAAACGGCGCTCCCCTGGACGCCGAGGCGAAAGCCGCGGAGATCGTGTCGGCGCACGTCGAGTGGTCGTACGCCGTGATCGCCGGCTGCGGCGTCGACGACGACGACGCGATCTTCCCGGACGCGATCGAGAAACTCAAGCACGACCTCGTGGAGGCGGTCGTCGTGTGCGTTTACCCCATCACGCACGACTTTAAGTTCATCGCGGACCGCTGGAAGTGCGCGCATCGCGCGTGGCGGGGAATCGTCGTGACGTGTCCGCTGTACTGGCTCGGGTGTTTTTTCTGGCAGCTGATCACGTTCGCGATCGCGTACGCGCAGGCGTTGTGGACGCAGTCCATAGCCCTGAGCGAGATCGAGCTCGAGCCGTGCCCGGACCCGGTGTTTCACGCCGCGGCGTTGCAGTCGGCGTTCGCGTCGCGGGTTTTCATCGGCGGCGTCGTCTCCGCGGCCATCGCGCCGGCGTTTTTCGCGTACTGGCTGCTGGTGCTCCTCTTCGCGGCGACGGGAAAGATCTTCTCGCCGCGGTGTCGCCGCGGCGCGCGATTCCGGGAGGCGCCGTGATGCGGTTACTTACAGCGCGCGAAGGGATGAGATGGGATGGGAGGGATGGGTTCGGATGAGATACGATGTTTAAATACACTACGGAATCATCACGCGCGCGCGCGCCACTCGACGAAACCACTCTCGTCAATACAAGCTCGCGTGCCACGACTCCGGCGGCCCCGGCTTCTGCGGCGTCCTCCCCCGCTGCGGCAGCGGCTGCTCCGCGGCGTTCACGCCCGTCACTTCGTACAGATAATTCGACAAGATGCCGTTGTTGCTGTCCACGGCTTCTTTGTACCTCGCCGCCGCCGCCGCGTTCTCGCGCACGTTCTCCTCCAGCGCGTCCGCGATCGCGCGCTCCTGCCTCGCCCTCTCCTCCGCTCTCGGGTCCACGAGCGTATACGCGTCCGCGGTTCCGGTGGCGCCGCGCGCGTGTTTATACTCGACGACCCCGTCCATCTCCGCGCTCTGTCGAAACGGATCGTTGTGCTCAAACTGCCCCTTCCCTTTCCTCACCGTCTTCCAGTCCTCCGGCTCGCCGCTGCCCCACTCCGGCCCGACGATCGCGGTGCCCTCGGCGACGGACAGCGAATCCTTCGGCGGCCGTTCGGTGCCGCGCCGTTTGAACGCGCCGAGCTTGGCCATCTCGCGGTCGTCGCCGATGGCGTTCGGGTCCGAGAGCGCCGCCCGTCGGACGCTCCACTCCGCGGGGGTCTCCACGCGCGCGCGCGACGTGCGGTAAAACGGATCGAGGTCGTCCGTTTTCGCACCGGTTCGCACCCCCGCGACGGGTTCGCCGCGACCGCCCTCGGGGGACGACGCGTCGATGATCGATCGAAGCACCTTCGCGCCCGGGGATTCCGGGCCGTCCATCGGAGAGCGCTCGTCGAGGCTGAACCCGCCGCCGCCGCCGCCGCCGCCGCTCTCGATCGACGGCCTCTCCCGCCGCGGCGACGGCGCTCTGCCGACGGCGTTGTACTCCCCCCCGACCCCCGCGTGCGCCGCGATCGGATCTCTCCCCATCTCCGTCAGGTGCGAGCGCTCGGTGAATCGCCTTCCCTTCCCCCTCCGCGGCTCTTCGTTATCGTCCCGCGGCTTCCCCGGCACCGCTTTCGTCTGCCGCCCCATGCCCTGGCAGTAGTTCATCTCCGATCGTCGCGCGTTCGTGAGCCCCGCGGCGTCCCACTGGAGCGGCTTCATCGGCGCCACGGAGCTCTTCCACTCCGGAACGATGATCGTGTCCGTCCGGTATCCGGGAAGATACGCGCCCTCGGGGCCCTTCTTCCTCGCCCCGGGGAACCGGTAGTCGACGTCGTCGCCGTCTAAGAACGGGTGGCGGTCTTCGCCTTGTTGCGGCTGGCAGCGCGAGAGTCCGGAGGGAGGGAGGGAGGGAGGGAGGGACGATCGCGGTCAGAGGAGGGAATCATCAATTATAATTTCGCGGAGAGGATGAATTGGGGGGCTCGTCGAGCGCGCGGCGACGAGACGGGAGGACGGACGCTCGAGACGCACCAGGTGCTTCTTTCGCGTGCCGAACAGCTCCATCGACGACTGCGGCGACGGCGGGCCGGCTTCGCGCGGCATGATGGACGAGTCGAGGTGAGGCGTCGCGCGTCGACGTGTGATGGAGAGAGGCCTCGACGCGCGGGCCCGATTCGCGCGTTCGTTCTGGCCGACGCGGCGGACGGACGGCGTCAATTGCAATTTTTTCACCCGTTCCTCGGTTTCAACATCTGATCGCGCACCCTTTCAACGGACCGACGAACTCGTTTTAAAGGAACTCCCGCGGAGCGGATCGCACGAAAGGTCAGCAACCACGATCGTCGCCTTCTCATCACTCGCCTCCGCGCGCGCGGCACGGCGTCCTCGGCGATGTCGCACGCGGCGTCGACGCGATGCCCGCTCGCGTCTAGACACGCGCTCCTCGGGCGCGCGCGCTCCTCCCTCGGCGCGTCGTCGTCGGCGGCGGCGGCGGCGGCGGCGGCGTCGCCGCGTCCGCTCGCCGCCGGCGTCTCTTCGCGACGACGACAGACGCCTCGGCCTCCCGTCTCCCGTTCCAGGGCCCCGACGCGCTGCGTCTCCACCCCGGAGCGCTCCGCGAAAGACCCGCGCGCGCGCGTCGCGCTCGACCCGTCCGTCGTCGCCGTGCGCGAGACGACGACGAGCGGCGAGCTCCGCGCGTCCGCGGCCGCGCGCGCGCTCTCCTTCTACGAGTACCCTCCCGACCGATCCGAGTACTCCGTCCGCGCGCATCGCAACATGAGGATCGACGCGGAGTGGGACGCGATCGGCGAGAAGATCGCGGGCACGGACGTCGCGTTCAAGAACTGCCGCGTCTCGTGCCTCGTCGCGGCGCTGCCGCTCCTCGAGGACGGCGCCGCGCCGGAAGGATTCGGAATCGACGACGGCGTCCACCCCGCGTGCGTTCTCCTTCACACTGGTCCCCATACGACCGCGTTGGCGTGGTGAACGCCGTTTCTTAAGGACTTTTGCCGTCGTCTCTCTCCGCCCAGGGTCCCTCGCTTTCAATCCCTGACCGCGACGCCTTTCAACTCCAACTGACGCCTTTCAACTCCACCCCGACATGAAAAAAGGAGCGTCGCGCGAGACGGAGACCCTCCGCCGGGGACGATCGTGCTGGGCACGCTGGACGTGAACCAGGGCGTTACGCTGCCCGCGGAGGAGCTCGCGGGGAAGTTTCCGCGCGATGACGACCCGGTGCGGCCGGGGACGGACACGAGTCAGGACGGAAGAGGGCCCGGAGAAGAGAAGAAGAAGAAGACCCAGACCGGCGACACCGGCGACGCCGGCGCCGGAGAAACCGGCGTGCGCGCGACGCGGTACCGACGCGCGTACCTCAGCAACGTGTGCGTCCTCCCGCAGGCGCGGCGATTGGGTCTCGGGAAGCGGTTGATGCGACGCGCGATGGAGGTGGCGGAGGGGTGGGGCGTGGAGGAGATGTACGTGCACGTGGTGAGCGATAATCACGGCGCCAAGTCGTTCTACGAGGACTTTGGGTTCGTCGTGGAGAGCGAGGAGACCGCCGCGTTCGCCGCGGGGTTGTCGCGCCCGCCGAGGATCATCCTGAGGAAGTCGGTCGGCGTGGAAGGGGCGTCCGCGGAGGAGGCGTCGCCGTGATGCGTTCCTTCGCGGTGGATTCGTTGGAAGTACTTTCGTACATCTTAACTACTAGCTAGAGCGGCGCGACCCTCGGACGTAATAAGGTAAGACTCCTCTCTCTCTATCTCGTCGGCGGGGACGTCGCGATCTCGGGCGTGGCGAACCCCGACCCCCCCACGCCGCCGCCGCCGCTCGCGAGCGACATGTTCGCCATCGCGAGCTCGGTCAGGTTCGTGTACGCAAAGTCCGGCAACAGCTCCGCCTCTTCTCTGTTCCGCTCGTCCCCCGCGCCGCCGCTGCCGCTGTCGCTCGACGTCGACGACGACGCGCCGCCGCCGTCGTCGTCGTCGCCGTCGCCGTCGCCGTCGTCGAGCCGCCGCCGCCGCCCCCCGGACGCCCCCGCGTCCTCGCCGACGTCGTCGTCGCCGACGTCGGACATGTTCCCTAACACGTTGAGCGCGTGGTCCGGGGAGGATCGACCCGCGTCGCTGCCGACGGGGGAGGAGGAGTAGGCGTTTAAGGGCCGTTCTATACAAGCGAAAGTCGGGGTGGAGTTGAAAGGCGTCAGTTGGAGTTGAAAGGCGCCGAGGGCGGGTATTGAAAGCGAGGCGTGGGCGGAGAGAGACGACGGCAAAAGTCCTTAAGGATCGGCGTCCACATCGCCAACGCGGTCGTATGGGGACCAGTGTATAGAACGCGCCTAACGCGCCGCCGCCGCCGCCGCCGGTGGATTGCTTATTCAGCGGCGACGGCCGCGCGATGATCCCGTGCGACCCGGAGAACCACGGATTATTCGCCGACGCGGGAGAGGACCCGACGCCGCCGGGGTCCGTGCGCGCGGGGCCGGGCGACGGCGATCGCCGCCCGGGACGGCGCGGCGACGACGGCGTCCGCGCGCCGCCGCCGCCGCCGCCGCCGCCGCCGCGCCCGACGCTCCCGACGCTCCCGTGCGGCGCGTGCCCCCCACCCTCGTCCCTCTCGACGTCGCTCTCGGAGCACGCGCTCGAGGCGTACGACCGGTGTCCCAAGCTCGACGTCCCCAACGACGACCGACGGCGCCGTTGCGGCGACCGACCGAGATGGGACGCGACAACCGTCGCGATCCCCGGAGGGTGAGGGCCGTTCTATACGAGCGAACGTCAGGGTGGAGTTGAAAGGCGTCAGTTGGCGTTGAAAGGCGTCGAGGGCGGGGATTGAAACCGAGGCGTGGGTGGAGAGATGCGCCGGGCAAAGTCCTTAAGGATCGGCGTTCACCACGCCAACGGGGTCGTATGGGGACCAGTGTATAGAACGCACCTGATGCGCGCCCGCGCCAGCGCCAGCGGCGTTGAGAAACTCCCCCGCGACGAGCGACACCGGCGACGTCGACGCGGACGTCGCGTTCGAGCCCGAGTGTGTCGCCGCGGCGTCGCCACCCAGACCACTAAGGCCTCCTCCCGGGTGCGCCTGCCCCGAGCTCCACGTCTCTCGCGCGGCTCGTCGTCGAATCCGGCGACGACCGACGGCGTCGAAGTAGCTCGTGTCCTCGGCGTCATCCGGCGCGGGGATAAACATCGGCGCCGCCTCGTCGCCGCCGCCGCTCGTGACGGACGCTAACACGCGGTCGAACGACAAGGACTGAAAGAACGCGTGCGCCTTGACGTCGTCCGCGCCGTTGACGGAGCCTAACCGCGCGGCGACCTCGGAGGTGAGCAGCCCGGAGATGAGATCTCTCGCCGCCGAGGATAGCCCCTCGTCGTCGTCGTCGTCGTCGTCGTCGTCGTCCGACATCGTGTCCATCTTGCTCGCGCCGCCGCCGCCTTCTGCGGCATCGTTCGCTTTCGGTTTCGGTTTCGGTTTCGGGTTCGCTCTCGCTTTCGGTTTCATCGGCGGCCACGCGATCGTCCCGGTGAGGATGTTTTCGAAAATCTTCACCGGCGTCGCCGCGTGAAACGGCGGCACCCCCACGAGCAGCTCGAACACGACGACGCCCAGAGCCCACCAGTCAACCTCCGGGCCGTACGGCTCGCAGAGCAGAACCTCGGGGGCGAGGTAGTCGGGGGTGCCTTTCGCGAAGCCGCCGCCGCCGCCGCCGCCCGCGACGCCGCCGGACCCGCCGCCGCCGCCGCCGCCGCCGCCGACGACGACGACGACGGATCCTCCTATGGACTGCGACGCGCTGTAATCGTACACGCTGCTCGTCCGCGTCGCTCGTCCGGCGCTGGTCACGGACGTGTCGCTGCCGTACCCGCTGTGCGCGTACCCCGTCACGCTGCTCGGTGCGCGGCGGTGCGACGCCGAAGGCGACGGCGGCGGCTGCGGCGGTTGACTCGTCGTCGCGCCGCCGCCGCCGCCGCCGCCGCCGCCGTCGCCGTCGCCGGGCGACCCGCGCGACGGCGCGGGCGCGGTCCCCCCCGCGCGCGCCTTGGCGTCGCGCGCGATCCCGATGTTACTCAGCCCAAAGTCCGTGAGTTTTATGTGCCCGTTCGCCGCGATTAGCAAGTTATCCGGCTTCACGTCGCGATGGATGATCCCCCGCGCGTGGCAGTATTCCAACGCCAACGCAACCTCCGCGGCGTACTGTCTCGCGTGCGTCTCCCCGAGCCGTCCCAACTGCCTCAGCAACGAGTACAGATCGCCTCCGATGGCGTACTCGGTGACGATGTACAGATGCCGCGTGGACGCGAACGAGTAGAAGAGCTTCACGATGAACGGGTTGTCCGTGTGAATCAGCGCGTCTCGCTCCGCCATCGCCTGCTGCGTCATGTTTTTGTAAATCAAATCTTTTTTGCGAATCACCTTGATGGCGTACACGTCTTGCGTCGTGTGCTTCCGGCACAGGAACACCTTGCCGTACGCGCCGGAGGATATGAGCTTCAAGACGTCGAAGTCTTCGATCCCGACGACGCCGTGCGGGCGCTCCCCGGGGACGTGCGACGAGTGCCGCTTCTCGCGCGCGTAGAGAGGCGACCCGGGCGCGGACGTGAACGCGCCATGTCGGACGCCGACACCCGCGCGGTTCGGCGGGCTCACCGCGAGCGGCGAATCGTTCGCGACGACGTCCGTCGACCAATCGCCGCCACGCGGAGAAGAAGAAACCATCGCGTGGCTCGCGCTCGACCCGTCGCCTCCCCCGTGCGCGCACGTCTCCGCTTCCCCGGCGGCGGCGAGGTACTCCGCGAGCATTCCGCCGAGGTGCTTCGCAACCGTCTCCGTGACGTGATGCCCCTTCGCCCACGCCGCGGTGACGACGTCTTGAAGCTCGCGCTGCAGCCTCGCGAACGTGTCCTTCTCCTTGGGAGACTTCGCCGCGGCCGCCGCGAGCTCGCGCGCGACGTTGATCGCGAGTCGGTGCAGCCCGGCGAAGACGGCGATCTCCTCCGCGGTCATCACCGCTGAATCCGAATTCGTCTCCGGCGGCTCCACCCCGGGCGTCGCCTTCTCCGCCGCTCGCTCGCCCACCCCCACCGCGCCGCCGTTCGGGAGCAGGCACCTCCCCGCGCTCTCGATGAGATCCGCGACGACCGGCAGCGCGGCTTGGAACCGCTCGCTGATCGTCGCGTATCCGCCGTACCCGCGAATGAGCGCCATGTCCGCGTCTTGGAGCGATTTGCAACACGACGAGTGCGCGCGCAAGCCCTCCTCCGCGACGGGCTTTTCGCATATCCGACACAGGATGTACCCGGGCGTCGTGGTCGCGTGACTCATCAGAGACGCGATGGACGTGCGCGGGGACACGCGCGGGGACGACCCGAGCGACGACGCGGGCAGCGACAGCGCGGTCTCGGACGCTCGCGACGACCCCGGGAGGTACCGGTGATGATGATGATGATGATGATGATGATGATGATGCTTTTGCGGGGTGGAGTTGAAAGGTGTCAGTTGGAGTTGAAAGGCGCCGAGGGCGGGTATTGAAAGGGAGGGGTGGGCGGAGAGAGACGACGGCGAAAGTCCTTAAGGATCGGCGTTCACCACGCGAACGCGGTCGTATGGGGACCAGTGTATAGAACGCACCTGATGATGATGCTTTTGCGGATGATGCGGCGCGTGCGGGATCGCGAACGCAGCCGCCGCGGCGGCCGCTGCCGCCGCCCTCGCCTGCGACGACGCCGCGGCGATCGAAAAACCGCGTTCGGCGTTCGCCGCGCGCGCGGCGGACAGCGACAGCGACATCGGCGGGGACGTCCCGGGGGAGTCCGCGCTCGCCGCCGCCATCGCATTTTTCGTCAACGTGTGCGCGAGCATGCTTCCGCCGCCGCCGCCGGCGCCGCCGCCGCCGCCGGCGAGGACGTCCCTGTACGGCCGCGAGAGGCTCAGGCTCAGGCCTCCGGGCCCGCCGCTTACGCCGCCGGCGCCTGGGCCGCCGCCGGCGCCGCCGGGGCCGCCGTCGCTGGCGCCCGGCGCGTCGAAGTCCATCGCCTCGCGCGAGAGCCGGCGGCGGTGCTTCGGGGGCGTCGGCGGGCGGCCGCCCGCCGTCGTCCCCGCGGGCGGCGGCGACGGCTTCGCCAACGGCGCGGGGATCACTTTCGTGGGCGTTGAAAGTAACGCACCACCTGTTTGCGTTTGCGCTAGAGCTGGAGGCCGCGGCGCTTGCACGACGAGCGCGTGCGCGTAACTCATCGGCCGTCGCGCCCCCGAAGCGCCGCCGGGGTGCTGCCCTTTGTGCATCTCCTCCTGGATCGCCGCCGCCGCCGCGGTCGCCATCAGCGACGCGCTCGCCTCGGACGCGGACCTTCGCAGCGTCTTCTGTGTGACCCCGTGTGAAGCCGCGTGTGAAGCCGCGTGCCCCGCCGGGGACGTGTTCTTGCGAAGGATGAGCCGCTCGCCGGACGGCGCGCCGCCGCCGCCGACGTCAACTTCGAACACGTCTTCGTCCTCTCGTCCGTCGCTGTCGTCGCCTTTCGCGGTGGAGAACGAACTCCCGCCGTGCGCGAGCGACGCCGGGGCGCGACTCCGCGGGTGGTCCTCGGTCTCGTCCGCCCAGTCCACGCCGAGGGAGCTGCCGCTCGCGACTCTGGACATCCCGCCGCCGGAAACGCCGCCGCGGGCGCGGCCGCTCTCTTCGGACAGCCTCGACGACAACCGCGGCGGAGAGCCGCTCAACGGCGACCCGGCGCCCCTCTCCGCGCTCAGGCTCCGCGGCCGCGGCACGTACGGCGGCGGCGCGGGCGGCGCGACGGGCGGGCCAACGTGCGGCGGCGCGACGACGACGGCGTCGGCGTCGGCGATCCCGCGTTTTATTTCCTCATCCGCGAGCGCCGACTGCCACGCGCTCACCGCGGCGGCGTACGTCCGCAGCCCCGCGACGACGCGGTTTATCGCGCTCGCGGTCTGCTGCGGCACCGTCGCGGACGCCATCGCGTCCTCCGTCTCCGCGGCTTTCACCGCGTCGGCGGCGAGGAGCGACACGCGGCCTCGCTCGCGCGCCGCCGCCGCCGCCGCCGCTTCCGAGAACGCGCCGCCGCCCTGAGAAGCCGAAGCCGAAGCCGAAGCCGAAGCCGAAGCCGAAGCCGCCGGCGGGGACGTGGACGTCGTCGTCGTCGTCGTCGTCGTCGTGGACTTCGCGCCCTCGTCCAAGGTCACCACGAGCGGCATGAACCGCGACAGCGAAAACAGGAGCGTCGCGAGTTGCGTCCGCTCGACGCTTCGACGCGCGGCGACGCCGAGGAGGGTCCGCACGTGCAACACGACGCACTCGCACGACGCTCGGAGCGCCTCCGCGTCCATCTCCATGAGCGTCTGCGCGAGCGCGGCGAGTTCGGACGCGACCGCGGAGGAGGACGGGCAGGGGGATCCGGCGGCTTCGCCGCCGGCGCCGCGGCACGAATCGCGGAGCTGCCGAAGCGCCGCGCGGACGTGCGGCAGCGCGAGGCGCAGGTGCACGCCCGTCGTGTCCAGCCTCGCGCGCGCGGACGCGGACGCGGACGCCGCATTCGGCGGCGCGTCCACGGCGGCGGACGCCGTCCGCCTGAGATGCTCGCCGCCGCCGCCGCCGCCGCCGCCGCCGCCGCCGCCGTCCGCGGGCCCGCCCGCGCGCGATCGCGACGCGGGCGAAGAAGCGGACGCGGCGTTCGCCGACGAGATCGCGCCCGTCGCGCCGTCCTCCGCGATCGCGCGCGTCGCCGCGGGTTTCGTCGCGTCGTCGCTCGCGAGGAGCTTCCTCGCCGCGGCGGCGTACGAGCTCTCCTTCGCGCGGGCGCGGAGATCCATCATGGAGACGCTCAGGCGCGGGCGCGGGGGGTCCGACGGGCTCATCCTCGTCGCGGCGCGGAGACTAAGAACTTCTTTCTCGTAACAACGACGCGCGGTGGGCGGGGGAGGACGACGGACGTCTTCCGCGTCAGCGTCCGCGCTTCACCGCTCCGCTTGACGACCAGTCTGCTACAGTACGGCGTCTACGAGACGCGCATCGCGCGAGTGCAAAACGCGCGAGTGTCAAAGGAGACGTTCGCGGCGTCGCGTCCGTGCGGTCGCGCGCGATGGATGTGCGGAGACGAGCGGCGGCGAGCGTCGAAGGAAACGTCGTCAGGTGGACGACTCGCGCGAAAAGAAAGAGAGATTACAGTATTTTGTCGCAGATATCATAACGCTGTTCGTACACCTTGTGAATACGGAGGCTCGATGCGCGTGCATCGAGCGTCCCGCGCGCGTCGTTCGAGCTAAATACGCGTGAGGAATGTGCACATGACGCGACAGGGCGTCACACGACCCACCACGGCTTCGCCTTCCCGGGCGTCCGACCCGTTCTCAGCGGCGGCGGCGGCGGCGGCGGGAGCGG